AGGTCCATTTGGCCTATGGTGTTGATTAACTCTGTTTCCTTGCTAATTTTCTGTCTGGTTGATCTGTCCATTGCTGAAAGTAAAGTGTTGAAGTCCCCCATTGCTACTTGGGGTCTATGTCTCCCTTTAGATCCAGTAGCACGTCTTTGAAATAGCCAGGTGTCCTGTAATTAGGTGTGTATATGTTTACAGCTGACACATCCTCCTGTTGAACTGATCCCTTAATCATTGCACAGTGCCCTTCTTTGTTGCTTTTAACAGTTTTTGTGTTAAAGCCTATTTTGTCTGATATTAGGATCTCTAAACCAGCTCTTGTTTGGATACCTTTTTCCATCCTTTGACGTTGTCTGCATGTATCTTTGTTGGTGAAAGATGTTTCTTGTAGGCAGCAAATAGATGGGTTTTGTTTTTTAATCCATTCAGCCAGTCCATGTCTTAATTGGAGAGTTGAGGCCATTTACATTCAAGGTGACTATTGATAAGTAATGACTTGGCCCAGCCATTTTTCCATAAATATTCCTATTGTTTACTTTGGATTTCCTCTGTACTTTTATTGGGAGATGTTCTGCCTTCACCTGCTTTCGTAGTGATGACTGTTTTTCTGTGTGTAGCACATCCTTAAACATCTCTTGTAAATCTAGACGATGACAAATTCTTTCAATTTCTGTTTATTATGGAAGGTCTTCATTTGCCCTTCATTCATAAATGAGAGCTTTGCAGGGCACAGTATTCTGGGTTGACAGATTTTTTATCTTAAGACTTGGAGTATATCTTAATGTTCACTCCTGGCTTGGGGGGTTTCTGATGAGAAGTCAGCTGTGGGTCTAATTGGAGAGCCTCTGAAAGTAATCTGGTGTTTCTCTGTACATTTTAGAATCTTTTCTTTACGTTTTACTCTGGGGAGTTTGATTACAATGTGTCCTGCTGAAGGTCTTTTCTGATCATGTGTATTAAGAGTTTGTTTGGCTGGCGCCGCGGCTCAATAGGCTAATCCTCTGCCTGCGGCGCTGGCACCCCAGGTTCTAGTCCCGGTCGGGGTGCTGGATTCTGTCCCGGTTGCCCCTCTTCCAGGCCAGCCCTCTGCTGTGGCCCGGGAGTACAGAGGAGGATGGCCCAAGTGCTTGGGCCCTGCACCCCATGGGAGACCAGGAGAAGCACCTGGCTCCTGGCTTCGGATCAGTGTGGTGCGCTGGCCACAGTGGCCATTAGGGGGTGAACCAACGGCAAAGGAAGACCTTTCTTTTTGTCTCCCTCTCTCACTGTCCACTCTGCCTGTCAAAAAAAAAAAAAAAAAAAGAGTTTGTTGTGCTTTCTGTACTTGGATGTCCCTTTCTGCCTTCAACTTACGGATTTTCTGTAATTATTTCACTATAACAGCCTTCTAATCCATTCTCTGCCACGCCTTCAAGAACTCCTAAGACAGGTATGCTGAGTTGTTTGATAGTATCCTGTAAACTCTCAGATACTAGTTTTTAGTTTTCTAATTTTTTTTTGTTTGTAAAATCTCCAGAGATTTGGCATCTAACTTGGATATTCTTCCTTCTGCCACACCAAGTCCGTTCTTAAGGTTTTCCACTGTATTTGTTATATTGAATTTATTTTGAATATTTCATTTTGATTTCTCTTGAATATCTCAGTTCCATGGGAAAAATTTTCATGTCATGTATAGATTTCTTTAGTTCATGGCTTTGCTTCTGGTTACTTCTAAATAATCCTACGGTCAATTTTGTGAATTCCATTTCTGGCATTTCTTCAGTCTGTTCATCACCACATTCTAGTATTGAAGTGTGTGTCGTAATGTACTATGTTTATATGTTCTTTTGCGGGGGGGCAGGGTTCATGTTGCCTTCCTTATTCTTGTTTCTCGAATTGCTCTGTTTATTATTAGGCCTTTGGGGTGATACTTGTTTCTGTTTGTCTTCCCCCATGAAGGCTTTTATCTTTGGACTAGTCTGTTTGGCTCAGTGGAGTGTCCGCTCTTTCAGTGAATACCCAGAGGCATGTGCTGGGTGTGGTCCGAGAGCTCTGTTCAGTGCTCCAGGGTAAGGGGAGTGCCTAAGGTGACACCCAAGTTGGGCATGGGAATTTTTTGTTTATACAGAGGAGAGGTTTGCTCTTATCTGTTGGTGTATTCTCATATTTACCTCCTCTCCTTGAAGGAGACCAGTGCCTGGGCACTAGCCCCAGTGGGTACAGTTTTCATCTGTTTTGCCATAAGAACCACACAAAGGATCTGCAGTCTCCAGTGTGAACACGGATCCTGCAGGAATGACCCTCACCAGGGAATCAGGGAGCCCCAAGTATCTACAGCCACCCACACAGTGACTGTGCAAAATCCCAGTCACACCCTGCGCCCTCCCACGCAGCCACAGTGTTTGCACAAGTCCTGCACACAAGGGTCCCACAGTCCTAAGCACCCAGCCCCCTGTGAATTCTGCCAGGCAGACTCGGACATCTCCTCTGGGCTGGTTGCTATCTGTGCAGACATGAACCAGCGCAACTGTTACAGATGTTCAAAATGCCACCCTCTCTCTCGGTCAGTTACAGGACACTGGTGCTGGGTGGCCAGGAGAGAGAAACGCGCCCCCCTTTTGTTCCCTCTGGGTTGGTGGGTAAACTGTCCACTACAGGGCTCCAAGCCAGGGCCAGGCCAGGCTCTTCCTGCAGCTTTATCACCAGTGGCTTGGGCTGCTGCAGTCTGGTCTTACCTCAGTCCAAAGCTGGTGCTGAGGCTCTCGGGTGCTGGGGTCCTGAGTTGTGCGCATACACACCGTCCATACAGGTCCACAGTGTTCCCCATAACAGTGAAGTTTCCTCTGCCATCTCCTCCCTGACCCTTCCCTGAGAGTGTATTCTCTCCACCTTTTTAACTATCCTCTCCTAGATTAGAGCAGTAACCTCCCTCCCTAGCCTGCAGCCTTCGAGTATTGTCAGCAACACTAAATCTTCCAATCGCTGAGAATGAGATATCATTAATTAAAGTCTGTTTCTTTCAGTAGTGTTTAAGTCCTATACTTTGGTGGTTAAATTTATTCCTAAATATCTGAATTATTTTTGATGGTATTATATATACAGTTTGGGAAGGATTAGTGTAATTTCTTCTTTGAATTGTGATAGAATTCTCCCATGAAGATAGCTCATCCTGGACTTTTCTTTTTTTGCAGGCTTTTGATTCCTGATAAAATCTCTTGACTTGTGAAAGGCCTATTGAGAATTTCTATTTCTTCCTGAGTCACTTTTACTTGGAATTCATGCCTACTAACAGTTCAGAATAATTTCCTGGAAAGACAGTTGTGTACATCTAAGAACATAGATATATGCCACCTGGAAGACAGGTCAAGGCACACCAAGAGTGAGCGTCAGTGCTGGTGCCCAGTAAGGATGACCACCGGGACCTGGCCAGAATAGTGTCCAGGTGTGGTGTCCAAGCAGACAGAGCCAAACAGACAGGGAGGTGGCCCGCACTGCGGGCTGCATTGGTTACCAAGACCACATGAGCTGCTGCGACTGGCAGTTGCTCACTCCGTGCTGCGCATCCCAGGGAACTTGGCCCTAAGTGGGAACCTGCACCTTGCTGGGCTATTTCCCGTCAGTGAGGATTAACCTGTCTTTCAGGGCCGTTTTCCCCCAGACTCGTGGCTTTCAGGCAACCTCCATCTTATCTGGTTTTAAATTCCTTTCTTAATGCACACGTGTACTCTCGCACGCACACACACACATACACACACCCCTGCATAGAGCAGACAACAGTTTTCTTGGCTTAGGTAATGCAATAGACATGTTGTTTGTTTCAAAAAGTAACTATTTAACCATGTTAGACACTTGGGAAACGCTGAGGCACAAGTAACATACCTCTGAAGGGATGTTATTGATTAATTTAAAGATTATGATCGAACCATGGGATTTTTTGTAAAAATAATAATAAAATTTAAAAAATAACTTAACCCACAGAAGCCAGACCGCCTGTTTGCAAATTCCAGCTCAGCCCTTCGGTGGTCACATGACCACAGGCGAGTTCAAGGTGTTCACTCTCTGAGCTTGTTTGCGCTACGGGAACAGTGACCGCGCCTCCCTCTGGGAAGCTGGGAACAGACAAGCTCGGGTCTTCCCATCCTCTCACTCCACAGTCAACGCAGAAGTCTCTGTGACGAAAGGGGACAACGGCACAGCTCTGCGGCAGCCGGCAGCTGGTGCCGTGCCTTGCGGTTCAGTGCTGACACCAGCATTGGTCCCAGGCGACAAGGGGCTCAGTCTCCAAGACCGCCCCCCCACCCCCAGGTACCAGTTGCAAGCCTAGGTTGTTTTTTAACCTGTGCTTCTGACTCACCTGTGGTAAGTCAGCTTCCCATAATCCTCTGCTTGGGCTCTGTGAATTTGCAAGGGCAGCTCACAGAAGCGAGGAAGCGCTTGTGTTTACCGGTTGATTGTAAGGGATGTGACCAAGGACATGGATGAAGATGTGGGGGCCAGGTGTGGGGGAGGGTCGCCGCTCTGAGGGAAGCCCCCACCCGTGTAGGTGGGATGAGAAGTACCAACCCTCTAATTCCGCCCGGGGCCTTCAGGTGACCAGCAAGGTCCTAAAGCTAGCTGGGGGCTGTGAGCCTCCTGGGCACTCATCCGCATACACAAGACACTTGTTCCTCTGAAGATTGCAAGGATTTTACGTGTTGTAGACGGAAGCCAGGGCAAAGACCAAATGTGTGTCACAAAATCTCAGTAGTGCAGGGAGCCAGGGCTTGCTGGTGAGCGTCCTGGGACCTTAGCACCTGGTTTCCCGGAGACCCCCATCTGTTCTGCTGACCACCAGCCGGGTCTTGGGTGTGTCTCTTCTCCCTTAGCCCCCAGATGTGCCAGTTCCCCTGGGCTCGGATTGGCACTGCCCCAGCCTCCAACCCCTCCCCCTGGGGGGTCATGGCTTTGTTTTCTTCTGAAGACCCAAGATTTCCAAACTCTGTGGTTGCTTTGCCTAGCTGAAAGGGGAAGAAGAGGATCAGCCCGAGGAGGAGGAGGAGGAAGAGGGAAACAGACGAGCAGCCCGGAGGAGGCACCGTCCAGAGGTCCTGGCGCTGGGGACCCTGCCCTGCCCCAGCCTGCTGCTTCCCGCCACGGCCATGGGCCCAGGGGCTCTGCTTGTCCTGCTGGCAACCACAGTGTGGCAAGGTAAGCGCAGATCTGCGGGCTCTGGTGTGCGTGCGACAGAGAGCCTCAGGCTGGGTGTTCTGACGGCGCGCTGCCGCCTCCCCAGCACAGAACTTGAGGCTGGTGAGTAGCTATGAGCTTTGGGAAGGCAGTGGATGGTGAAGAAAGTGTGTGTGGCAAGGGGCGGGATGGCTGGGGAAAGGTGGTGTGTACCTAGCCCAGCTGGGGGCTGGGGGTCTGTCCCAGCTCAGCCCTGGACCCTCCGCGTATCCTGAGCAGCTCTGAGACGCTCTGGGCTCATGTCTACATCTCTGCAATGCCAGGCAGTGGGGGCAGAAATGGCCCAGCCTAGAGCAATGCCCTTCAGACCTGGCCACGAGTACGGGAAGTTACCTGGGTCTCTGGGTCTCTTGTTCCAAAGCAGATGCTGGCTCCGTGGGTGTGTCCCGAGAGTCTGCCCCTCTCAAAAGCTCTCAGGAGACACCCGTGCCAAAACTGCTGGTCCAGCCCTGTGCCAGGGAGAGTGGCGAGGGCCTGGGCAGGTCCCGTGGCTCTGGCTACCTGGGAGCCCTCCCATGACTCCTTCCTTGGGAGCCCAGATAAGGGATCAGAGGGAGAGAGGCTGGCCACCCTGGCTCAGTGCTCAGGAGAGGGATCCGGGGGTGGGGATGGAGGCTATAGGGCTTTGGGGAGCCTGGTGGGGCCAGCAAGAGGGTCTACAGCCAGAGCCCTCACAGACCTGGCCATCCAGGGGGGCCCGTCCCCACCCCCACCTTACTGCAGCCGCAGTTGCTGCAGGCTTTCCATCTAGGAGGTGCCTGGCTAGTGGGGGCTGTGCATTGGGAGAGACCTGGGGAGAGGATGGGAGTGAGGGAGGGGGGGGGCAGCCCCACTCTGGCTGCCCCACAAGAAGACCTGTGGGGCTGGCGGGTCCGGCCCCTGAGGAGCAGAGGGAGCGCCAGGCCACCCACTGAAGGTCTGGTTCTGGCCCAGTCGATCCTGCCCAGCTGAGCATTTGCTGTTTGTGAGCTGTGACTGACAGCGAGCAGGGAGTGTGGGTCCTGCAAGGTTTGACAAATGCACACACATGCACTCCCCACGACCCCATCAAGACAGACCTGGGCCTTTAGCCCCGACAGCTGCACAGGTCTCACTTGACTACCTTGTCCTGTCCTCACCCCGGGACCCCTCTTGTGGGTCACTGTGTGTTTGTGGGGGGTGAGAGCCCACTGGGAGGGCTTGGTGGGTGTTGGAGCACCTTAGAGGTGGCCAGAGCTGGGCTTTTCCCCAAGAGACCTGAGCTTTGGCTGCAGTGTGTGTGTGTGTCGTGTGTCTGTGTGTGTCTGTGTCGTGTGTCTGTGTGTGTCTGTGTGGAGTGGGAGTCCCTTCTGGGAGCTGAGGTGAGAAAGATGCAGAGTGGACTGGGCAGGAGGGGTCTGGGTCAGGGGTCACCAAGCCCCGCCCCTCCCTCCCCCTCCCCCAGAACAGGCAGAACAGGCTTCCCGTCTCCAAGGGCCGAGTCAGCAGGGGGAAGTTGGTGGCAGACGTGGAGGGCGTCAGCCCTGTCCTGCGTGAGCCTCTGGGGTGCCAGGACAGACGCCTGTGGGTGACCGCATTTCCAGGAGGCCCCAGCAGGGGTGAGGGGCACAGGGAGGGAGGGGTCGGAGCCGCTGCCTACAAGACAAGACAGGCTCAGAGAATGAGCAGGCAGTGTTACAGACTCAGGCACTCAGCCTGTGACTGCTGCTGTTGAAAATCCACTTCTGTCATCTATCCCGAGGCATGGGGGTGGGGCACAGCGATGTGGCAACTGAAACAGCAGCCCCGGGCAGGAGCCAAGGAGGAGCCACCCCTCACCTGGCTGCCTCCCCAGCGGCCCTCGGGGGTGGAACTGGGATTATTCTCCTGAGACAGGAGCCTGAGGCTCAGCGATGAAGCAATTCACTCCGAAAGCCTGGAAGGTAACCCAGGTTGCTCCGTGCACTCCACGCGGAGTCCTGCCGCAAACCGCCGCTGGGTGGCGCAGCAAGGATGGGGCGCGCCGGCGCTGCAGAGGTGGGATGACGTCTGGCGCCTCTGCGTGTGGTCACGCTGCACAGGCGGGCCCAGGTCCAGGTGCCGGCCTTCTGTGCTCACAGCTCACTCGGTCCCTGCGCTGACTAGAAGCTCAGCGGAGCCACTGAGGCGTTCTCATGGGTGCTGCAGCAGACGCCACAGCGGGGTCTGCAGAACACAAGGGCCTGGCCGCCCCATGCAGAGAAACAGTGGCCCCGGGGGCATCGCGATGCCCAGCAGGCGACTCTCCCTCTCCTGGGGTTGATGGCTCTGGGAAGCAGAAGTGAGAAGCTCCTCGGATGAAGGGCCGCGGGCGAAGCGGAAGCAGAGCCTAGAGCGGTGCCCTCAATGTGTTTCCGCCCCTGCAGGCCAGGGGGCGCCTGGCAACCCCTCCGAGCCGGTGAATCAGCTCTCACTTCCCTCCCGCACCCCTATTTTAGGGGCCAGAGAAGCGCTGACACTGCAGAGCACTGGGCCTGCTTCCCGGAGGGGGTTCAAGTTCTCTTTTCTCCTTCAAGAAAATTTTCCTTAAAAGAAACTGCGCAACCTCCCCCCCCCCCCACCAAGTAAACCGACCCCCGGGGTGGGTAGCTGGGGCCAGCCTAGACTATAAACAGCAGGGTCACCCTGACTACTTACTCTGTGACAGATGGCATTCTAAAGGGTTCCCATGCATCGGAAGTGCCTGACGTGCCAACAAATGGGTATGATTGTCTCCATTTTATAGGTGGGGAAACCGAGGCACAGAGCCTCTGAACCATCCCACTGGGCTGCCATGGTGGGAACGGGTATGACAACAGAGGCTACAAGCCTCAAACTCTGGCTGACACTCAACACCTTTCTTGCTCCTGCCCTTGGGAATTAAGTTGGGGGACTTGGCCACAAGTGTTCCATTGATTTGTTTCTTTCTTTTTTTTTTTTTTTTGACAGGCAGAGAGGACAGTGAGAGAGAGAGAGAGAAAGGCCTTCCTTTGCCATTGGTTCACCCTCCAATGGCCACCGTGGCCGGCGCACCGTGCCTATCCGAAGCCAGGAGCCAGGTGCTTCTCCTGGTCTCCCATGGGGTGCAGGGCCCAAGCACTTGGGCCATCCTCCACTGCCCTCCCTGGCCACAGCAGAGAGCTGGCCTGGAAGAGGGGCAACCGGGACAGAATCCGGTGCCCCGACCAGGACTAGAACCCAGTGTGCCGGTGCCGCAAGTGCTGGCCTGAATTGTTTCTTTATTGATTTGTTTGAGCCCCGCTGTAAGTCAAACCCTGAGCTGCACGCTAGAGACGTGGCCTACTGTGTGCACAGGGCCTAGGGTGCCCACAGCAGAGAAGACAGAGACTCTGGTGGGTGGGAGATAGAGGAAGCCCACACCCTCTCTTAGGTGGGCCCCGATGGTCAGCGGTGTCTGTCTTTTCCCCAGCAGGTTTAAGGTTGGGAGCCAAGCAAATGACCGGGGGTGCCGAGGCCCATGCAGAGTGTGCCACAGCACTTCCTCGTCCAGGGTTCGAGCGGTCCGAGTCAGGACGGCCCAGAGGTGCCCACAGGCCTCATGCTGTCTGCCGTCCCTCCCCCAGGTGGAGGAGTGCCCGTGATAGAACCCAGCGGCCCTGAGCTGGTGGTGGAGCCGGGTGCGGTGGTGACCCTGCGATGCCTGGGCAATGGCACCGTCAAGTGGGATGGCCCCATCTCCTCATACTGGACCCTGGACCCGGACGCCCCCAGCAGCGTCCTGATCACAAACAATGCCACCTTCAAAAACACGGGGACCTATCACTGCACAGAGCTTGGAGACCCTCTTGGGGAGAGCGCCACCATCCATGTCTACGTCAAAGGTGAGGATGCCTAGCCCCTTCCCAAGGGGTCCCACGGCAGTAGGCCGGTCCCTGACGTTCACCATCCCGGTAAACCAGCCCCGTGCTCTCTGAGGGCTGATGGCCAATGAGAACCTCTGTAGCGCTTCGCATAGAATGCAGTCGGCACGACAGCCCTGGGTAGTCATTGCACGTGACTTTGCCCGCTCTCCAGAGGCTCAGAGGAGTGTAGTCGCTTGCCCAAGGTCACAGAGCATCAAGCAGTGGGGCTGGACTGCAGCCCAGGTGCACCTGTCCCCAGCATCATCTGAACTACCTGGCACAGAGTGACCTCGATCAAACGATCTGCCTCTGAGCCTCCCTGTCCCCAAC